CCTCCCCTCTGGGTTGTTGGGCAGTCTACCGCCAGTGTCCCCTTTGGTGGCATTTTGGGCAGGGGGTGGAGGGTATCCTCAGTGAAGGACAATCCTGGCCTAATGTCCCTCCTTACCACATTTGAAGCAAGCTCCAGGGTTGTCTTATTAGGATGGCGTGGTGATGACTATCTCTGAATGACCTGGGCCAACATTTGGAATTTGGTGTTTTCAGCCCTCTGCCTCCAACGTTCACTTTCATCCTCTCTACCATGAGAAACCTTGAAAGGGACAGCGAGGATTTCAGTCTGAGGAGTAGCAGGGCCTTGTTCAAGCTTCTTAAGCTTGGCTTTAATGTCAGGGTAGCTTTGGGCCAGGAAATATGTTATTAAGACATGACGGCCATCAGGGCTTTCTGGGTCGAGGTTTGTGTACTGCTGGAGGTCCTTGGTTAGTCTATCCAGGAATTATGAAGGTGTTTCTTCCTTCTTTTGAATGACCTTTTGAAAATTAACGGCCTTGCAGGTGGCCTTTTTTAGGCCTGCCAAGAGGCAGGATGCAAAAAGGTCATGAGACTGTAAGCCTCCAGGGGTATTGTAATCCCATAGAGGATCCTGATCTGGGACAGCATGAGGGACGGTGGGGTGGTTGGGATTGGTCCTATGATTTTCATCAGCAAGCGCTTGGGCTAGTTCCCAGACCTGTCGCCTTTCCTCAGGGAGAAGTGTATTGGCCAGGAGCATGTAGATGTCATGATGTGTAAGGCTATATTCCTGCAGGACCCACTGGAACTGCCAAATGTAAGTGGTGGGATCAGTAGTGAATGAGCCTAATTTCCTCTCTAATTGAATAATGTCCGACATGGAGAAAGGCACATGTACTCTAATAAAACCCTCAGGACCAGCTACCTCACGAAGGGGTGCAATCATCATGGGAGTAGGAGAGGGTCCCTTAGACCTGGTGACAGGAAGACTGAAAGAGGCAGTCGGCGGTGGACAGGAAGGAGAGGCAGGGGAAGGGGATGTTTCAGTGGAGGAGGAGGAGGTGGGACCGGCCGAAGAGAGCGGGGAAGAGGGGGATGAAATGGCAGGCTGAGGATCAGTGGAATCAGGCGGAAGAAGCGGAGGGTGTAGCAGGAGAAGAGGGGCAGATGGGGCTGGGGGATAAGGTGGGGGTTCATCTGCTGGGTCAAATGAGGAAGAATCTGCGGAGTCAGGGGAAGAAGTAGGGGAAGGGAGGGGTTTACAAGCAAGAAGGATCTGAGAGGGAGAGCAGGAAGTGCAGAGGGCGGGGTATTGGGCGGGGTGTTGGGCAAGAAGGCTAAAACCTTCAACGTATGGGACCTCTCTCCACTTTTTTTAGGGGCAAGCAGTGGTTAAGAAGATCCCGAAGAAGGTTTGGGATTAACGAGCCTTCTGGAGGCCAATGATTGTCGTTATCTAACAGATATGCGGGCCAATCTTGGGTACAGAATCTGATAAGAATTTTGGGCTTGAGATCCGGGGAGAGAGAGAGAGTAGCCAAATTCTTAAGGAGACACTTGAGTTTTGAGCTTTCGGGTATAGACGAGGAGGCACCCATGTTAAAGAGTGGAGGAAGGGACAGCAAAGAGAGAAAAAAAATTAACCCTGGCCGGAGTTGCCTGGAGGCATAGAGCAGATGGAGGGTCACGTGGGCGTCACCGAAGTGACCAGTCCACTGCAAGTAGTCACAGAGGGCACAGCTTGGTCATCACTGAAGAAGTGCAGTCTGTGACCCTGTAAGGTCAAGGCTGTGGGCCACCTGGCGCCAGGAAAAGTTTCCACTGGAATGAGAGAGAGTCAAGGAAGGAAAGAACAGAGCCCCAGAAGAACGCAGCTTGGGGTTGGAAATTCAGCTCCGGGCTGAACACAGCTCCTGCAGGGCACACAGCTTCAGCGGGGCAAGGCTTCTGCGGAGGAGGAAGAGACCACGGGGCCTCTCTCGAGTAAACCCAGAAGCCTCATGCCCCAAAGGGAAGCAGGTCGCCAGAGGCTCCACTTCGACCAGTGAAGGTCTTAGTGGGGTGCATTCCCTCCTCCCTACTGGGCAACAGGAGCATGCTGGATGATCATGGTCATATCCCCTGCTGGAAGCCTGAAGGGAGTTGGCAAGCCGGGGAGGGGGAAACTTACCTAGACCAGATCAGTGGTGAGTGCAGGGAGCCTGCGCCCAAAAAGACAGACAAGGGCGAAATGTGTCCTTGGTGACGGTGGTGGTGGAGTCAGGGCTCGGTTTGTCAAGCACACCGTCTCCCGGGTTTTTGGCACCACTGTAAGACTGGAAGATGCCGCACCACACAACACAGATCACTGAAGAGTTTCTGCTTTATTACAAAAGGCTGTGTGTTTATATAGGTCTAAGGAGAGGTAGCAGGGCTGAGGTAGATAACATGTCGCCCATTTATTGGCAAGCTCTTCCATATGTCAGTTTCAGAGCCCAAGAAGTTAATTCTTATTGGGGCTAAGGCTTCCCACCAGCAGGGTTTGAACATTGGCGCCGGTGGGAACGTTTTGCGCCAGTGAAAGAAAAAAAAAAAACAAGGAGAAAGAAGATTGTTAGGCGCCATGTTGGGTGCTGCCGCTGTTATATGTTTTCCCAACAAAAAATATTGAGATAGAGTAGATATTAAAGAAGTATCTGAATGAGTAAGTTAAATTGTGTAAATGATAGTAGATTTATTGGAACAGTTGGCAAGCGTGTTATTGAAAATGAGAATCACCATTGATTGTTGTAGTATTTATAAATAAAATATATGTGCATTTGTCCAACATGGCTGTTCTTGATAGGCTAAGAATATTGTTTGAACTAAAAGACAACAAAAACTTTACATATTATCCCATGTATATCCTCCATATGATTTATGTATTCTGAGATTTTTGAACAAAATTAGGAGTCAAACTTATGGACATCTCTCATAGAACAGAATAAAATGATTATATAAATTACTCAAAATTATATGAATCCTATACTTTCCTACTTATCTAGCAACAAAATCATTTCCTTGTCACTCTATTATTAGGTAACTATTATCATCATACAAACTTTACTTTTACTGCCATTTGATGACTCATAGGTTTATTTATCAATTTTAATTAATATTGATTCTAGAAAAAAATAGATATCTGCCTATAAGGCTGAGATATGTTCAGTATTATATCAACACTTAATTGCAGTATAACTTCTTTAAAATTGACAATAAAAGCTATTCTATTAAATAATGGAACTTATAGCCTTACCTGCTGGACAGTTATCATCTCCCGAGTCTCTCTCTTTCACTGGAAATAGAGATACAGAAAGAAATGGAATTCATGATAATTGTGTATTCTGGGACTACTGGCCAGTCACATAGCCAAACTGAGGAAAGATTTCCAGAAACTAAATTATTGATGGCTAATCATAAAAGAAGAGTAGGATCAAGTAAGACAGAAACTGGTTATAACTACTTGGTTTTGACCCTACTCCCTCAAAACCAAAAAAACAAATGACCATTTCTACCAATTTGGATCTATTTTCTGAGAATAACAATGTCATTTCATATCTTCTTATTTTCTTTTTTTTGTAGACATAATAGATCTCTGTAATCTCTATATTTATTTACACATTTGTGTCAAAGCATTAGTGTACATACAGATAAAAGGGATGTAGATAATTTTACATAAATTCAATGGGACAAATTCATTGAATAACTACAGCATGGCAGGATCTTAAAATAATAGTGTGTGTCCCCAGGAAAAGGGTAGCCATTTTCTCCTAACCCAGAAATATGTGTGTGGTCTTTCTCCTACTATTTCTAATGAATTCCTAGAATACACATGGATAATTTTAGTAAGAAAAATAAATAAATAGTAATAAGATAAATAAATAGAACATCCAAAATTGTAGTCTTTAATGAGGTTTATATGTAAACAGCAAAGAAAAAGAGCCTATTTTAATTACAGGATTGGTCAAAATAACTTTTTTTTTTAATTTAGAGAAAAGTATTTAAGGAAAACTAAAAATTAAAAAAGAAAAGACTTTAAACTCAAGTTTAACATTAATATATTCTCTTAAGCAAATTAATATTTAAGGACAGTATGCCCACTTGACTTTATCTTTCAGTAATATTTGTT